CGGCAGCAAGCACCTGAAGGGCACAACCGTATTGACGTGCCCGGAGCCCGAGGCGAGGGTGAGCCAGATAGACCAAGGCACACGGGGCTCCCTGTATCACACCTATCGTTCTTTTTCGGGCAGAGGTTTCCTCTCCCCTTCTGGGGTTGGGGCAACAGTACACTGGTGATTTATCCAAGTATGAAAACATGCCATTTTTCCCCGAAATGCGCTCAAGCTGATGTGATGCATTTTGTGTAATCAATATCGACACCCGTAAACACTCCAGTTTTGTCTTCCTGGGAAAGCCTGACTCCGTGGGTTTGCTTTTCGTGTGCAAAGACACCCTTCCAATATCGAGGACGCGCCAGGCCATTTTCCCTCGTGAGATGAACCTTGCCGGGGATGATCAAGTGCTGCGGAAGTACGGCTTGTCGAAGGCCGCTGTGCATGCAGTGGGCTTGACCTACAGCATAATCGGCTCCGTGTCCGAATAACAATTGGCACTTATCACCGGGCGGAAAAAATTCCGTTACTCAAGCATTCGAAACGTCGTCGGTGCACAATCAAACGGGAATTCGTGGCTAACTTGTGGCTGCCTTGTTCCGCTGATGGCCTCCCCTTGGCACTCGAAGGTCCCTGTACAACAACAACCTCACCACGCTGCCGGAGGGGATCTTCGGGGATCTTACGGCCCTGACGAGGCTGTAAGTAGCTGGGATACTTTTCCGCATGCGCTCAGCCCGCGCTAGACAAAAGAAGTCAAACATTTTGCCGGTTGGCAGATCTGCAGTCGGTGCATGCGGTAACTGCTTTCTTTGGAAGAGAGAATGCGGGGGTCGAACTAGTAGTCGGGAGATGCTGGAGGGTACCGTTGCGCTAGGGGCGCAACCGCTGTCGAATCTGCGAGAGTTTGCCTCTTTCAATCAGCTCGCTTGCTTCAACCTGGCGTCAACGTTGACGGTAAGCAGCGCATCCGGAAAAAGGGTAGCTGATGCAGTTCGGAAGCCCTTCGGTTCTGAGATGATTGATCGTTGGCTCCGGTTTGAGAATGGACCTATTACGAATTCTCTCAACTTCTCACTTGTCTCGTACAGAAACTGACGGTCTACAGTAATCCCTTATCTCATGTGTATTTGGTATAATGGCTTCAACCTGCCGGTTCTCTGGTAGATCCTTTCCTGCAAACGAGAACACCTGCAAAGCGAGGAGTTGTGGTTGTATTTCGCGCTTGTCGGGAATTGTAGGCATGCGTTGGCCCGAGGTAGCGGGCAATCATAACAGTTTCCCGACATGGCACACTTTTTTGGGTGCCCCTCTTACAGTTCATCTCCTATATCTCAAGCCCCTCCGGTTTTACCGAAAGTTCTCCCTTTCCCTCGTGAGATTATCATGGATCTGTGGATTTCCTCCCAGGCAAAAGTATCGTCCTATACTTGAATTACCATTTTCGCTCTACCTGGAACACCATCGGCGCGGTGCTGCGGCAATGATTTGTTGCTGTGTTAGGCGATGGCTCCTCTCCAACTGTTCGTATCGTTATTGGCCATCATGCTAACCTTGTTGCTCCTTCCTGCCGCTCTCGTCCGGTCATGCGCCGGCAAATCTCGTTCGGGACCTGAATTTTAGGAAGCTGGAGGGGAATTCTCTGGAGTGCTTGCCCTCAACAACACTGTGAGGAACGCTTGAAAAGCATGGGTCTATCGCTTTGTAATACATATGAAGAGAAGAGTATGGACCCTATCGCGTGTTGGCGGATCCGGCCAGCATCTCGTAGACACCGAGCACACCTGTTGTTCGCTGCTGCCCGCGATATGAGACGAATGCGTGTTACTACAGTAACCAATTGGTGTTGATGCACGTACCCTAACCCTTAAAGTGTTGCATGTACTTGTCAGAATGATCAACAGAAACGTGATTCGTCGAACACTCTCGAAACCTTCTTAGAGGTCTGGTGAAGGGTTCGGATCCCGGCGTAAGCAAGCTTTTCTTGCAAAGTGAGTTTTTCTTTTGCTTCCGCTCCTGGCCTAGTGGATAGCGCAACTGTAGTTCGTGTGTACACAAGAGGGACGAGTGCTGAACTCTCCTCGCATGAAAATCGAAGGCAACGTTCCGCAGGAGGGGAGGGTAGGGAGGGGCCCTTCTGTTTGACCACGGGTTGGAGTAGACGGCACTTGTGCTGTGAGCGCTGATTTCAAGTGAAAAAATGAAACAAACCGCGTTGAACCGTCAAAAAGGAGAGTTTTTCCGGGCATCCTCCTTCCTCCTGCTTTACCCATGGAGCATGTTCATTGATACATCGCATCGTAGATCGACCTCGCCTTGTTTGCTTCGACTGTCGGTATAGCGAGACCTGTGTGACCTCTTTTGCGCCCTTCGCAGGGTGGAAGTTGATGATGATGCCTCGTTCTCTGAAGACGGGCTCCACGTTGATGCATACGGTGACGAATGTGGTGAGTGTCTCGCTGACAACGGTGTAGCGATGGGCTTGGGGCCGATAGGTGCTCACCGGTAGCATGTTGCTTTTGCTGCGTCACAGTCTGCCCCACGAAGGTACCGGGTCGACCAGTAGCAGTTTGCGTGGGATTTGGTTTCCGCTCCGTTTCCCGATCGAGGCACGACGATATGATCGAAAGGAGATGCAGCGTTGATTGAGCTTAAACCTGGCTGTTCCATACTGTTGGACGGCTCTTACTCGGTGCAAACCTCTGCGCGAGACTGATCTCGAAGGTAACCATCGGGCGAGGGATGGATGTAGGCATACTCAATTTTGAGAAAGATGTGTTGCCATCGTCCTCCCTAAGCGGCACTAGGGCTTGTACCTTCATGTGCAATATTCGCGATGCGCCCCCAAACACCGATGTTCTTTGAACGTTTTCCAGGGTGCTCTATTGAGGGCGTAATCGACAACGTGTGCGGCCAAGAAATGTGCACTCCCGGAGATGAAGGGTACACGTGTGGTGAGAGAACACAGGCCCGAAAGGCAACTCTGTAGTAAATTATCGTTCAAGTTCATCCTCTTCATCGAGGGGCTTGGGCAGCAACGAACTAATACTGTCCAACATTGATAGTCTAGGTTCATCACAAGAAGTGCTTCCCGATGTCTAGGAACTAGATTCGACCTTGATTTAGCATGCCTAGGTTGCGCCAAGACGCCGTCTGCTACGAAAGAAACAAGAAGTTATTTCAACGGAGTGATTATTCTTCCCAACTGGTTGAGTGCACGAAACCGTACCACCAAGAAATGGTGGTCCGTCATTCTTCCCTTGTTGGCTTGACTTTCCACTCCTCCGGCTGGGGGTATGTAGGGTAAAGCATGAGTAACTGGCGAAGCTATCGATTGTTTAAACGTCCAAACCCAAATTCGTCTTCGAATACCCACCATCCTGGCACTCGCTGCAGCGGCCATAATTCCGGCTACGCCCGCACCTGCACTGGGCACGACCGCGCCGGAATCTGCACCAGGGTCGAGCTCAGAAGGTAAGAGGCTTGATGCCACACCTTCAGTAGGAGTGATATTTTCCCGCAACTCCGAACGACAGCGTCTGAACCGATGTCCAGGCAGGAATCCTGCAGGTTACGTTTGCGATCGTTGTTTGTGGCAAGACCCATGTCCTCATGTCCAGAGTTCCTCGAGGTTCGCCGATGAAAGGACCCTCTCCCGTTGCCATCGAGTCCTTCCGAAGTGCTGGGAAATTAATTGAGAAAATGGGCAGGTGCAAACACACGTGTTGTACGTGCAGTCTTGCGTGATGCGACGTGAGGATCGCACAGACTAGCCCTGAAATTCCTCGGTTGATAAGTCGAAATGTCGCTGTCCTGCTACCAGTCGTTGCCTAACAGAGTCCCGCCTCCATCAACGCTCATCGCTGCTGTTCCGCTGCTGGTCTGGACGAAGAGGGCGCATCGATGGTGGGCATTGTAGTCGGCGCTGTGGCGGGCGCGCTGGCGTTAGGAGCACTTGGGTTCTTCCTAGGTCGCCGACGAACCCTAAAGAGCACCGACCCCGACCCGCCGGCCCCTCCTGGCAACGGTGGGGACAGCCTGGAGCACGGCCGGGGTGAACCGCAGCAGCAACGGCAGCAGGACACCCATTCCGATCGGAGGAAACGATACCCTGGGCCCGCCGACACCGTATGCGCATGATGGTGCACACCAGCGTGATGCTCTCCCTCCGTCATCCCCACACAGGCGTGACGGCGGTGCGCGGTCACACCACGGCCGATAGCCTATTTTATGGCTTGATGTCTGGTTGTAGGTAGATGGATACCTCACAGTGTTGTCGATCGTAGCTATTGCTTGGTCGATCGGGCGCGGCACAATCACCCGCTACCTGTTGCTAGATGAACGTGTCATGATGTTCTATCGATACGCATGGCGCCGTAGATGGTGGTGCAACCATCTGTGCCGATCGACGGCTATTTCTAGATCGGCAATATACAATTGTACAACGGTGCCCTTCGGGAGTTAGGTGGCTTGCCTCCCGGGGGCGACGCAGGAAGACATGGTCAATGTCATCGCGGTCGCATCGTTATATCTCAACGTCATGACGTTCCGTGTTGGCAGTGAGTGCCGGTTTTGTGTACACCTGGCGTCTAAATCGCCTCCCAAGACTAGGTCAGGATCGGGCGGCAACAGTACTTGATCCGCTCGTTTCTCGAGACCCCTGCATGAAAAGTCGTTCCGACGTTTTTGTCGTGCTCGCAGAGTATGTCGGAGTGAGTGTGCCATAAGTCAACCTCATAAGAACTTGAAGCAGAGACTACATGTTTTGTCGTTCGTTCTCTACCTCTGACGTCGTTTGCCCTGTCGGTAACAAAACTATAAACTTCGTTGTATTAGGGTTGGTACGGCGAAATCAAGTTTACATTAGGTTCGCAGACGTTCAAGGACCATTATACGTAGACTATGTGCTGGTGATGGTATCCTATCTTCGGCATATTCAAGTCATGACAAAACACGAAGGTCTCTGTTTGGGTGCGGTAGCTCGTCAGAGGCCGAAAGAGAAAGAAGGTCGACTCAAGACCTTGTTGCTTAGAGTGTGAGAGACATGCGGTAGGCCACAACATCGCCATGCAGCATGTCCGTCAATACATGCCATCCATCCGCGTCCCCCCCGGAGGCCCCGTAGACAGTATACTCTGCCGAGCACCCCAAACAGCCCCCCTGCCCGGTACGAGATACGATCTAGGAAATCCCCGACACGACTATCATTGCCACGCAATACGGCAGACAGGTCAACCAAAACCCCTTTGCTAACAATAAATCATCCGCCATCAACAACATATTGGTGAAATGGAGAACGAGAGCCCAAAAAATTAAAATTCGGGTCCAGACGCCTCTTGCCATTTCTTGAGAAGTAGGGGGCGGGCTCTTCCAAGAAGCGGCGCAACTTGAAGATCTCATCAGCAGCGTCACGAGGATATGCGTGTCATCGTCATTGGGTGCCGCAGCTAGGAGCTAGACAAGTTGCTATATTCCCCAGATTGGATATTCCTGCCTCACACTGTTGCTGGGCGGCTTAGCCTCGGGCGGTGGGGTCTGCTGTATCTTCTGCTCGCCGCTGTAACTCCACATCGAGAGACTTCTACAAGATGACCAGGGTATCTGCTTGTAGCTACGGGCTGGCCCTTCAATTCAAGCTACGCAGCACGCTCCACCTCTCAGCAGTAGTCTAGCTGCAGTGCATCGCGCAATCTCGCTCTCAA